CGGAGTGGCAATCGGGAGAGTTGTAGTGTTTCGAGGCCGTGAGGGCTGGTCTGATAATAGTGATAAATTGTAAGTTCTTAGCAACAGCATCCGGCGGACTGGTGTACGGCCGCTGCCCGCTGGTCAAACTGTGCAGCCTCTCTGCTCAACCCGTAAATGAATCCATCGATCCGCATATTTTGTTTGAGTTCTTAAATGCTCTAGTGCTAGATCTTTTGCCAAGCGTGTCAGAAGTTATGGGTTTTTAATCTGCACTCATACAGTTTTTTCCTCTCTCTCATCAAAACCGAATATGTTCCTCAGTGGTTACAGTCTATATCAAGCAGGGACACATTTGTGTGCATTTTATTTGGTGATTTCATCGGCGATACGGCGATAGATTGAAGAGTGCGTCCGAGTGAAGACTCTGCGCACCACAAGAGTATGAAGTACCAGGTTGACTGGTGGTTAAGTTCTTCATTTAGCATGATTGTTTGTTTGATCTGAGCACTTTAAAGCTAAATATAAAAGCTGTTTATTTAAGTTTTATTTTAAACTTAAATTAAATGTATTTGAAAGCTGGCCAAAGCTTGGCATTTTGCACTTTTTAGTTGCAAAAGTTTTTATTTTTGTATGAAGATATAATGTAATAGCAAAATACATTTAATTTGTTGTGTTTCTTTTAACTTATATGTCTACTGCAATACTGTTTTTGCAAAAACTACAATAAAACCTGTTGGAAAGCATCTTTTGCAGTGATTTTTGTGTGAGCATATCAGTGAACACCCCAGACCCCTCGTGAGTTTCACATCTTAGTAAACTAAAGTTTAATGCGTTTTATAAATGATTGTTCCAGTGCACATAGACAACCATTGTGTAGGTGGGGGGTGCTAACACGCAAACCTAAAATTCTCGGCACAGCAGCATTTGTCCAAATTTCAATCTTAACCGTTCTATTTCATCAGAAACGATCTTAAAACAGGGTTTTAAAGGTGGAATACCTAAGATTTTTGCATTCAAATATCCCAAAATCACAAGGCTAGTGTTATATATTTAGTTATGATGATAACTCACAATATTCCAAATGTTTCAAACAATGTTTAAATCGCGAGAAAATTGAGATTTTAACCAAGGAAACGGGGCGTATGAGCAGGGGTGAGCTGGGAGTCGCCAGTCAATCGCGTCATATTCGCTTACCTCGGTTTCCGCTCGTACTACGTGTAGTCCTGGACAAATTCGGTAGTTGTAGTTGTGCGTTAGCGTCTATCAAGCAACAAAAGTAAGCTTGTTTCGTGCATTTGTTATGGAATGGAGCACAATTATTCTTCTCATTTATTCTCGGAATGTGAACTGTTGGCTGTAAAGGGGGTCGTACACCGGACGAGAAGCGTCGCGCCACGTTTAGGACAATTCCACTGTAACGTTATCGAACACCGGACGCGCACTTTCTCATCAGTGTATGGCCAGCAATATTGTTATGTTTAATGACATGAAATGAAGATAATGTCTGTTCTATGTTATGATTGTACTGTACTAGGGGTGGCACGGTTCACAAAACCCACGGTTCGGTTTGTATCACGGTTTTAGGGTCACGGTTTTCGGTTCTGTACGGTTCTTGTTATTTTTTCTTTTAATCTTTAACACTCCAGAAATGTACTTCAGCATGTGATATATAGCTTAATTATCCACACTTTAGGATACAGTATTAAATATATATATATATATATATATATATATATATATATATATATATATATATATATTATATTCATGCAATCATGCACAAACTGAATTTGACTCTTTGACTTTAAGCACATTTTGGGACTATCTCAGAGGAAAGCTAGGTGAGATTTAGATACAGCAAGAGAGAAGAAATTGACATGCTTTTTGTTTATTTGGCAAAAAAAAGGAGAATGTGTCACTATGTCTACAAGAACTTGTGCATTTTTATCACATAAATCTTATTTACACAAAGAAATTAACTTTCATGTATCAACTGCTGACTTTTGTAGCTCTTACCAAAATTCTATCTTTTAAATGAAAAAGAGAGGAACTCTTAAAACACTGTCTTTTAAATGTCAATATACATGAAACCTCATTGCCTATAGATAATTAAGCTATAGCAATAGCAAAGGCCATAAACATAAAGTGAAATTTAAGTTCAACCTCAACACAAAAACAGTATCAACAATGCTTCTATTCCCAAAACGTGAGGGTACTTTTTTCCACTTAAAATTAAAGTGCAGGATTTGGAAACGTACAGTATGACTGAAGCTCTTATCTAAACATAAAGTGTCACTGTAGCGTTATATTAAAATATCATAACATGAAATCCAAAATGTTCCCACACACCGGACTTATACCATAGACTTATACGACGCTGGCGCATTCTCCAACTCCCTCATCTCTCTCACTTGCCATTTATCCGCGTGCCGTGACCTGCAGCGCTCCATACTCCACTTTTACTGGCTTGTTTATTAACTTGAACCGGCGCTGCACAGAGCGACATCAAATACCGTGAAAGTGATGAATGCATACGGAGCCGACTCGCGCTAGATTGATGTTATTCACCGATCGCTCTGTGCAGCGCCGGTCCAAGTCGAACAAGTTTATGTCGCGCGAAAAGAAAACACACGTCACATACGGGCACGAGGTTACATTGCGCATGCGTCGAACCGTGAGACGCACACGCGCTCCGAACCGAGACAAGCGAACCGAACGGTTCGGGTGTTTTTTCATGTACCGTGCCACCCCTATACTGTACAATTAAATACAATCGTTGCTGAGTCTGCATTCTGAAAACTTTACCTCAGAGATCCGTTCACTGAATGAATTGAGAATCTCACCTGAAAAATCTAATAATAACATCAGCAATTGTCATTCAAGCAGCTGATTTTTGTAAATGACTGCAAAATAAATGCATATTGCAGCATAGGGCAAAGTCAGGATCCATTAGCAACGATTTAGACAAAAATAATTAAAATTTTATATAAAACTATGTAAATGGCGCTCTGTGGCGCAGCAGGATTTTGAACACGGTCCTGAGGCGTTGTTGCTGGGTGCCGCGGACAGACGCCGAATGGCGCCGCCGGTATGTGTAACGTTACACTTATAGATAATAATGTTTTCGAATTTTAAAGATGTGGAGCGACGCGGCGCTGCAGCTTCTCGTCCGGTGTGCGACCCCCTTAACGTTAATTTTGTGAAACTGTAGCTGTGGTTGAATACTTACACGACATGAAAAGATGTGTCAAATGTACATTAAATTGATTTTTTATTTTTATAAAGTTACCAAGGAGGACCAGCCACGTCAACTCCTTGCAAGAGACCTGCCCCTTCAAACCCTCTCCACCATAGCTTCGTCCAGTGACTCGTACAGTAACTAATTTACTTTTAAACCTGACTTCTTACGGTTATTTCAGTTTAATGAAAAACAAGCATGTCATTAAACGCAACGTTTATAGAATTCGAACTTTACCTCATCCATGACAACTAATTTTCGATTCCCGTCTGACTGATTTATCCATGGTGGAGTTGAAAACAACAGTTCCCATCATTCCGCGTTCCTCCACGTCGTCATTAAGCAAAGCCGTTGTTGTTGTTTTGAATGTAGCGCCCTCTAGCGGCATATAAACCTTAGGTATTGCAGCTTTAAGTGTAAAATACCGAACTAACCCTATAAACTACAGAATTACTCAAAGAAATAAGCATTTAAATATATAATTATTGGGAGAAACTGAGGGATAACTAGTATATGATGTGGTGAGATATAGGTATTTTATTTTAGTAGCCTGTTTTATAAAAATCTCAATGTTTTATCTATAACCTTTCAAAATTTCATATTACGTTTTGGAAATATAAATAACATCTATTCTGTACCAAATTACATTATTTCCCCTCAGTTTGGGTATATGAATACAATATGGATTTTTTTTCTACCTCAAGTATGAGTATGTGATAATATAATTCTATATAACAAGTCATACAAGTCTGGTGTATCATATGATACAAAACAATCATGCAAACATTTTTACAAGATATTTAATATTTTGTCTTAAATTGTGATAAACTGTCTCCACACACACACATACACACACACACACACACACACACACACACACACAGGTATAGACCATTTCACAAGATGTAAAGGCCAATTTATACTTCTGCGTCGAGGGTACGCCGTAGTGTACGGCGTTGGCTACGCACGTAGGCGACGCCGTTGTGAGCATTTATACTTCTGCGTTCAGGTCTTGGTTGCTCTGCAGTACTGCTCCGAAACGCTAGTTGGCGGCGGAGAGTTTTAATGTTCCACTGTGTTTAGATTCCTCGCGGCTAGGTTACTACGAGTGAAAGAGAGCTGATCATGTTGGAATTGGAGCTTATTAAGGTGGAAAAACAGTTCACTTTAGTGAAATTACTAAAACTGAAAGGCAGAAATGAGAGAAGACTTCGGAGGAGATGAAACGTGTGGAAATCATAGACAGTGGTGGAAATGCGTGAGAAGGTACGTGCGGAAATGCGTAGGAGGAAATGCGATGCTACCAAGCCAACCAATCACCGATCTTGCGGTCCGCGTCGTCGCGACGTGTAGTTACATTTTTGAGGAGGTGCGCGTCAGGCGACGGCGAAGGGTACGCGGTATGGGACGCGTCTGTGCGTATGCTACGCCGTACCTACTGCGCGCACCCTACGCAGAAGTATAAATTGGCCTTCAACAACACTGGTCCAGAAGCACTTCCTGTTTCAGTTTGTAACTGTTTTCTTTATTTCACATGTAAAGAAAACATCTTAAAGATATTAGTTTAACTTTTTGATTCAGTTTTAAATGTTCTGTTGGTTGTATTTTATCCCAGCTTTTATGTAGTGTTAAAAAACTGAAACAGGAAGTGCTTCTGGACCAGTGTTGTTTACATCTTGTGAAATGGTCTATAGCTTCATGTTTATGATGGGGAATAACTATTGAGATAAATGCATTTTTCAGATGAGATTAAAACATGACAAAATATATAAAGACTTACAGAGCTCTTCTGGAGGCTTTAATGACTGCCGATAATCTAATGAGACACTCGTCTGATTTCTTGAATTTCTGAAGCTCAAATTCCTCCAGCTCTTCCTCTGATGTCAACAACACAAAGGCTAAAGCAGACCACTGGGCAGGTGAAAGGTCACCAGATGAGAGACTTCCTTTGCTAAGGTGGGTCTGAATCTCGTTCACCAGAGTTTGGTCGTTCAGTTCATTCAGACAGTAGAACAGATTGATGGATCTCTCTGCAGGAAGATTATCTGCTAATTTCTGCTTGATGTACTGAACTATTTCCTTGTTGCTCTGGTCAGTGTCGTCTCTCTTTGTCAACAGACCTCGTAAGAGTCGTCGAACTGTCCCCTTGTTGCTCCGGTGAGTGCCGTCTCGCTGTGTCAACAGACCTCGTAAGAGTCGTCGATTGGACTGGAGTGACAGACCGAGGAGGAAGCGAAGGAAAAGGTCCAGGTGTCCATTGTCACTCTCCAGCGCCTTGTCCACTGCAGTCTTGAGAAAATCAATCATGGTTTCATTTCTGTTTTTCTGTTCTGTAGACTCATGATCAAACACACTTGTATTGTTGATGTTTAGAAACAGATGTGCATAAAGGGCTGCAATAAACTCTTGAATGCTCAAGTGAACAAAGCAGTACATGGTACCAAGAACGATCCCTGTTTCCTCCTTAAAGATCTGGGTACACATGCCTGAGTACACTGATGCCTTATAGACGTCAAGACCACAGGCTTCCAGGTCTGTGTCATAGAAGATCAGGTTGTTTCTTTCCAGCTGATGAAATGCCAGTTTCCCCAGTGAAAGGATGGTGTCTTTATCCCAGGAAACATCTGGTGTGTATTCTCCATCATATTTCCGGCGGCTCTGCTGGATCTGAAAGCGGAGAAAGTGTGTGTACATTTGTGTCAGAGTCTTGGGAGTGTCTTCAGTGTTTGATTCCTGCAGTGTTTTAGAGATCTCATCAGCCTGAGTGTTTCTCACATCATTATTTCTCTTCTCCTCCAGAATGTTCTGGAGAACAGTGGCTGAAATCCAGCAGAAGACTGGGATGTGGCACATGATAAAGAGACTCTTTGATTGTTTAACATGATCTATGATTGTGTTGGCTTGAATATCATCCTTGAATCTTTTTCTGAAGTACTCTTGCTTTTGTGCGTCGCTGAATCCTCGTATCTCTGTCAGCCGGTCGATACAGTCAGGAGGAATCTTACTGGCAGCTGCTGGTCTGCTGGTGATCCAGACGAGAGCAGAAGGAAGCAGATTTCCCTTCATGAGGTTCGTTAGGAGAACATCCAGAGAGGCTGGTGACGATACATCACGCCACGTTTCATTACAATCAAACTTCAGAGGAAGGCGACATTCGTCCAGTCCATCAAGGATGAACAGCACTTTGAACTGATTCCTTCTTGTAAGGTTCAGTCCTTTTGTCTCTGGGAAAAACTGAGTTATAAGGTCCATCAAACTTAGTTTTTCTTTCTCCTTTAAGTTCATCTCTCTGAATGGAAGAGGAAATATGAAGCTGATATCTTGATTTTCTTTTCCTTCAGCCCAGTCCAGAACAAACTTTTGCACAGAGACTGATTTCCCGATGCCAGCGACTCCTTTTGTCAGTACAGTTCGGATCTTCTCGTCTTGTTCAGGCGCTTCAAACAAATGTGTGCATTCAACCTGTATCTCTTGTGCTTCATGACGTCTGGAAGCAACTTCAATCTGTCTCACCTCATGTTCAGTATTGACCTGTTCACTGCCACCCTGAGTGATGTAGAGATCTGTGTAGATGTTATTCAGGAGTGTGGAGTCACCTTGCTTCGCCATTCCTTCAAACACACATTGATACTTCTTCTTTAGGCCACATTTCAGCTGATGAATGAAGAACAGCTCACCTAAACACAGGAACAGAAAATAGATAGTTTTAGTCTTCATTTTCTCTTCTACATTTATAAGAGACAATCAGATAGATGATCACGAGTCTCTTGCCTTCTAGAGCATCAGCAGCTTCATCTTGCTTCATCTCTCTCAGGTAATGTAGTGTGAGATCAAGAGCTGCTGATTTGATACTGGATCTGTTCTCATTAAAGTCCTTCACAAAGTGTTGTGTGTTCTCATGTTGTAATATTTTCTTTAACTTCTCCAGTTCATTCTTCAGAAATGTGATTATTTTGCTCTCAAGATCCTACAAAAAAAAAGTAAAAGAGAAGGCAGAATACACAATTTAAGCCAAATTGTACATCTACATTTGGTATCAACAATTTATTCAATAATTATGATCCATGTATATAAAAAATCCAGTTAAAAGTATAACATGCTAACCAAGTTGTGCCAAAATGGGTTTAAAAGAAAAAAGAAAAAAAAGATTAATTAAATTTCTTCGGTCAAGAACATATTTGTTTGTTATAAATATTAAACATTTCTAAAAATGTGTTTTCCTACCTGGAAGATCCCAAGAAGATTGTCTTTGAAATTCTTGTGTTTCCTGTGAGTCTGAAGGTCTGAGTCTAATGTCTCATATTGAAGCCTGTTCACATTAGTAAAATAAAATACTAACTGATATTTTACAGAAAGAGAAATAAGCATTAGCTGTGAATACTCTGACAAATATTTGATCTAAACATGTTTCATGATTGGTATTCACTGATACAACTTTTAAAGAGTCAACGTGTGACAAAATGAGTAAAACACAAAATACCTTTTATTAGATGATGGTGTTTTCTCACTGAAGTCTGGTGGAAGAACATTAGACCGATCACTCTTCAGAGACACAGAGCTGGACACACGTGAGCCTGATCTTACACTGATGACATAAAGAACATTTGAAAAGGTTTAATGTTGTAAATAGTAATTAAATGCAGTATAGCTGTGCATTTATTCATTTATAACTACGGTTTGTAAGGCCTGCTAAATCGATCCAATGGCGGTATTCGATTAGAGGTGAAGGTTTCATCCGTGTTCGTCTCTTCCCATGGCAAAGGGATTTTTTATTAAATGCAATACATTTTAACTTATGTATTAACTCGCTTCATCTGAATCCATAAAATGAAAAGGTTTTTCAATGATATCTGTGCATCATTAAATACATGTTAATGTTTGACTATTCCTTTTAACTCTAATGAAAATAAAGTCAAAGTCTGTTAGAATAATCAAATATAACAATTTATTATGTCAGGTAAATATATAATGTCAATTTCACAATCAGTTCAAAGATCATCAATCCAAATAATTAAATGGTCTAGAATAAGAGGAAAAGATGTGAACCCAACATTGTATGCTACGTGAGCTGAGAGTCACGAGACCCTCAACCACACGGGCTAATCTGAGTACAGAAAAGAGCCCTGAGCTCTCCGTTGCATTTCTTTAGATATCCAGACCTCCTTTGATATGTAGAACATGAGTTTACAGTGGGAAAGTTACTGCGGTCAGACATGTGTGTGTGTGTGTGTGTGTGACCATCTCTCACATGAGTGTCATTTGCATGGGCCAGCATTGCATCATGAGTAACTACAGTTTACCATTTTGCACGTCTGAAGTCTTACCAGTTTAAACATTCAGGCGATCTTGAACTATTTGGTAGACTTGCGCGCTGTCTGAGAGATGTTTTTTTCTGCACACATACAAGCCGCCTCACACGCTCGCGGGTAACAACAGTTATTTTCGTGGATTATATCGCGTTAACAGCCAAAAACATGCGACAATTATGTATATTTCAGTCTTGGTGACTGGTGTGTATCCTCTAAACATCTGGTTTTAAATAAGCATACATCGCACGTGACATTATGTTAGTGGCTACAGGATCTGTGCACAAGCTCTTCAGTGACAGCAGCCATGGTCTGTCATTAATCTGGTTGTCAAATTCAACAAAACATGGCTTTCATTTTAAGGAATCAGGAATAATATACTATGTATTTAATTTAGTTCTCAGGACTAAAACACTACCCAGTGTTATTTTACATTTGATTACTTTATTCAGTCTCTGTAGGACTATTTCTGAAAACTGGTGTCAGACCTCAGCAATAACTTTTCTCTTTATATGTAGGCTATCTATATTCTATTTTTTCAATTTTATTCAAAAATTGAAATCAAGCTTCCTTGTGTTGTGTAAATTCTTAAGAACAAAATTACCCCATTGTAAAAATGCAATGAATGAGCATTCATTTTAGGAGATAAATGTAATAATAATAAAATAAAATAAAGAGTCTAGACTCCCCCCTCAAATTAAAAATCTGACAAACAGTTTATGACATCCTTCCAGAACTTGTGTATATCAGAACATTCCCATAGACAGTTACAGTTCCTTTATTATTTTGGCATTTTGTATATATATCAGAAATATTGCTAGACATATGATTGAGTTTTTCAGGTGTTATATAAACCTTTGTCTCCATACTGTAATAATTTAATCTGCGTGTTTATAATTTGTTTTTGCGCCTACTTCAGTCCATTCAAATTCCCCTATTTCTTCTTGTCTTGAATGTCTTTCCTCCATGTGTTTAATTTGTCTACAGCAGACTCTTTAGATAAATAATAATTTGACAAATGGCCCTTTTCACCTCTTTTTCCAATTATTTCCTGACAGTTTGGGAATGTACATAATATCTGTAGACCCGGAAGACATAAAACTTTTAGGCTGTGAATATTTGAAAAAAAAGTTTTGAGGGAATCTGGTGTTTATAACACAATTCTTGAATGTAAGAAGTATTTCATCCATAACCAAGTCTTTAATAGTCTGAATACCTTTAGTTTTCCATAGTTTAAATCTTCGGCCTTATATTTATTATTATTTATTGTTAGACAGTTTCTAACTGGTCTTGATGAATGTGAAGGGGTGTTTGCTATTAATTACAACAGTTAATGTTGTAAGCTATTGTATTTTGCTGAAAATCTTAAATGTGTTGATTAAATGAAAACAGGTTTACATAGTTTACTGACACCTATTGGTTATTTACTGGTTCTACTGCCTTAACAATGACACTCCCAATGGATAAGATGAGGATAATTTAATAGCATTTAATATAGCTCCGTGTACGTATGAATAATGAATATCAGAAAATAGTCTGATAGACTGTTTAATATACAACACATGACTTATTTTGGCATACAAACAACTAATTTGTAACCAAAGACTAGGCTATGTAAAAGCTACTTTAATTGAAAGTTTCAGATTTCAATTCATAAATAAGATAGATAGAGGGGGGCCCAAAAAATGCAGTCTGCCTAGTGTAGTCCTTTTATTTAATCCGGCTCTGAACACACACAATACCTTTTATTAGATGATGGTGTTTTCTCACTGAAGGCTGGTGGAAGTCCTTCTTTAGAGTGATCACTCTTCAGAGACACAGAGCTGGACACATGTGAGCCTGATCTTACACTGATGACACAAAGAACAGAGCGAGAGAGAAAACACTTTAGTAAAGGAGGATCAACTGTGTCTGAAACACATCTGTGTCTTCATCTTATCCTCCACAGAAACACACACACTCACACAATAGGCTATATGCACACATAAGTTCCGCATTTGCTCGTCTGTTTCTGGTTGGGGAGATTAAAGCGGAGGGAAACCGAGGAAAACAGGATTATGGCAGAGTCATCAAAATTTCCTTTCCTCCTGTCTTTGAAATGAAACGTTCATAGGCTTAGATGTAATTTTATATATAGTTATGTTTATTTAATATAATTTTAAAAAGAAGCATAAGCACAACCAAGGGTCTGTTTTATCTGTTTATGTGACTAATGTTTCTTTACTATAACCATGGAGTATAAAATTCAATATAAATTCTCGGTATTGCATTGGACTCTCCGATCGGCGGGAGTTATTGAGCATTGTTACGTCCTTAGGGACGGTTAGATTGTTTTACTTCGGGGTTTGTGTTTTTCTTTTGTCTCTCTTCCTTACTTTCACTTTCGCAGGTCGTCGCTGATTGGCTATACCACCTGTCAATCAGCGTAATGAGCGGGTTTGCCTGGGAGGCGGGATCTTCATCAGCCCGATGCGCGGCACCTGGAGAAGCCCTACTTAAGACGCGTGCTAACCGCGGGAAGAGAGAGAGATTTTTGTGCTTGCTTTGAGAGACTTTGGTTTTGCTTTGAGATGTTTGTTTTCTCTCCAGTTGATTTAGTTCTGTTAAGTGTTTGCTTTATTTTGTCATGTTATGCTAACCTTTCGAGTTTTCCCTGAAACTTCACATTTGTGAGATTTGTGAGTCTGTTAAGCAGCTTTGCAAGGCTGGATTAGTTGGGAAGGAGAAAAGGGAATAGGTAAGAATGTCACGTGACATACATTTTGCACACTTAGGTTTTTTTTGTGTGTCTATATTCACTAGGTTAGAGATTTGTGCCACCCCCTGTATTTTTGTTATTAGTTAGTGTAGTTTAGACACGGCGTCTAGGACGTTGAAGACTTTTTCTTTGTTCTTTTGTTTTAGTCTAGGTTTAGATTGGAGATGGTCTAGTTAGTTTTGTTTTGTTTATGTTACTTTCGTTTGTTTGGCACAAATCCCGTTTCCCTTTTTCCTTTTGCCCTTTTTCACATATTATGTTAACCAACCTATTTACTATTAAATTATTTTTCATTATATCTCTGAGTGTCTCTCGTGTTTTCTCAACACATTAAGTGGTCCATAGAGACGTTTGATTGAACCGATTCTGTGTTCCCCTTCTAATATTCCCTAGACGGGAACGAGCCAAAGAAGGGTCGTAACAAGCATCCTTAAAGCTTCACTGGAAATACCGCCGTGCATAGAGTCCATTAACAGTTTTATAGTTAACCATCATTTTATTTACTGGCTCACATTAGGCTTAACAATTTCTTTAATATACATGATTGAGATTAACCATGTTGAGGATTTATAAGATAATTGACCATAATTTAAGAGAACATTTCAAGTTTTTGATTATTGACAGAATAGAGAGCAGAAATGTCTGTGTGACAGTTTTGTTAGCATACTTGAATTAAATTAAGTGTATAGTTGTTTTCTAATGTCTATAAATAATTTCATGATCTAAAAACTAAAGTAATTTATTTGGATTAATTCAGCGTCTAGAAGGTTATTAACAAATTATTAACTGTGATATTTTCTATAGAGCAAACAGGGCTTTATGGACACTGGCAGAGTTACTTTAAGATTTGCAAATATAGAGCAATGCTTAAAGTTGTGTTATTGACAGAGAAACACAAAGTCCAGTGGAGTTTAAAGTGAGAGTGTGAAAACAGACGCAGTCTCACCTGTGTTTCTCTGAGAGACTCATCTGAGAGAGAGAGTCCTTTCCTCTTTCCTCTGACATACTGCAGCTAAACTGACCCTGAAAACTGATCAGAAAACAAGCAATCCTTCAGCATCACCTGCAAATCACAACATTTACACACATTAACAACATCTTATTGAAGAATAAAGACTTATCATCAACAAACAACATCAAGAGGAAAAACATTGTATCGAATAAAGTGAGTTTTTGATTGTTTAATGAGTTTAACTGACTCTAAATGAAATCTAAATGAATTCATTGGGGAACAGAAATGTACACTGAGCTGGAAAACTGAACTCAATTTGATATATTCTCTATTCAGTTTAATGACAGCAGATTGTTTGACGTTAGGCTTCATCTGTCTGTCTACTGTAAATGTCTGCTTCAAAAATACTTTCGATTTCACATCACAAAAACAACAGCCTAACACGGAAGAGGAAATGGGAGAAAACGTTTTAGAAACATATTCATGTTGAATAAACGTTTCTCAATAAAACCTTTTGTGTTTTAACCTCAAAAGATTGTAATTTCAGTCAGATTCTTCTTCTGTTCAGAGTAGCAGAAGAACAGCCTTCTGTAACTTCACATTTAAATCTCACTTAATATACAATATGAAGTTCCTAATAATTACAAATGACTGTAATGGAGAATGTAATAAACTTACTTGCAGTCTTATATTTGGTTGGTATTGTGCTAAATCGACATTTGTAGACATGTTTTCTGAATCATAGATGAAATCAATTCCAGTGAGCGAGTTTGGGTGTGGACAGGTGTTGCTTTAGTTTTCTTCTTCTTCTTCTTCTTTCGTGTATTTTAGATTTCGTGCATTACCGCCACCTACCGTGATCCAGAGACTTCAAGCCCCATTTCCCATTAAACATAACCAGCGCTGCGTGTTCAGCTCCTCTGGCTTCAAAAAAACCTTTCAAATCCTGTCAATTAATCCTGTATTTTTCAAAAATCTAAATAATGCTTCTCTATTATCATTTTCCTGTTCTGGTTTTAATATTATTCTCAAAGTTATGTCCGTTTCCTCTTTTCTCTGAATCTCTTCAAATATATCCTCTTTATATTTTTCACAATACCTGATAACATGCTCTACTGTTTCTTCCTCTCCACACCATTCACAAAGTCTTGTTGGATGCTTGGATATTAATTTCAGTGTTTTATTAAGTCCCGTATGTCCTATTCTAAGTCTTGATATTATGTTTTCCTCCCTTCTACTTCCACCCGAGAACCTCTTTTTCCCCACTTTTGGTTGAATTGCATACATACTTCTTCCCTTAATTCCTGTTTCCCACATTCGTTGCCATCTTTGTTTTATTTGATATTTAATTATTGCTTTAATTTCATCTCTACTATATGCTATATCCATTTCTATTCTGTCCTCTTGCAATGCTTGTTTAGCCATTTTATCTGCTGCCTCATTCCCTTTTACCCCAACATGAGCCGGTGCCCACATGAATTTTACTCTCACTCTTTTCCGCTGTAACATATATAATTCTTGTGCTATCTCTATCCTGTCTTGTATTTGACTGTTGTGCTTCAATGCACATAAGAGCAGAACTAGAGTCTGAACATACAACCACATCCTTCAATCCTGCCTCATTTATCCATCTCAATGCCATCATTATTGCAGCTAATTCCCCCGTGAAAACTGATAGACTATTTGATATTCTTATTTTCCTGGATATCTGTAGTTTTGGAACAACAAAACATGCTCATTGTCTGGATTTTTTGATGCATCCGTAAATACCTGTACTTTATGTCATAATTTAACCATAAGTAGTCCCTTACCTGGATTGCCTCTCTTTCGCTCTGACCTTCTTTCTGCCTGATTTCTAATATTTTTAAATCAACTTCTGGCTGTGGCATTATCCACAAAGGGACAGCTGGTATCACCACTCTTGGAGTAATTTTAAGCTCTTTAATACCCAACTCTTTTACTAAATCACCAATCACCCATCCAAAACTATCACACTTCTTTTTCCCATACTCCCAGCACTGCTCTATACCCTTAAAGTAGGATGAGATTTATCCTGTCCCATAAGATTTGCCCAGTATACTGCATTTAACTGTTGTCTTCTTAACTTGAGAGGCATATCTCCTACAGTACCTCTACCTGCAGCGCTGAAACAGGAGAAGATGGGTACGCTCCACAACAAATCAATGCTTTTGCTTGAATTCGCTCCAATTTGTCCAAGTGAGTTTTTGCTGCTGATCCATATACTACGCTTCCATAATCAATTACTGATCTAATTAACGTTACATAAATGGTTTTCAGTGCCAGCCTATCTGCCAGACACACATCTCATTATATTCAACACTCTTTTACACTTTTGCTCTATCTTCTCAATATGCTCTTTCCATGTGAGATAGTTTTCCTCTAGAGTTACTGCTGTAGAAAAAATGTTTAAATGTACAATTATTATACCATAAATAAAAGGGGTCATATGTTTCATGTGGTAACGAACGATTTATTTAACACGAAATCAATGTAAAAATATAGCTGCGAGCAGCGATTGCGGGCCCAAGCCGGTGGCACCGCAACCCCGATGCCTTTAGTTACCCAAAGGCACCGGGATGGTGGTACCGCCGGCTTTGGCCCTTTATCGCTGCTCACAGCTATATTTATATTTAATATAAAGCCGGTGGCACCGCCACCTTGGTGCCTTTAGGGTTATTCTGTATGACGTGTAAAAACGTAACCCCCGCTTTGACTATCAAAAAGAAGTGTATTGTAGAGCTTGCATCAATGCGGACTCGATGCGCTGTGCGCTGTAACTCCATGTGGCTTTAAGCGCATCATTCTCCACTCGGGATGCGCATAAGCGTTTTGTGCCACACTGTACTGAGCCTTTCATATCATAATGCAGTGACGCAATGACAGATTATTAATTGCCTTTCTTGTTCTGTTCCATCTATTATATGTTGATAATAGATAGGACAGAGCACTAAAAACCTCAAACAAAGCACTAAAAACTTAAGCTGTTTGCTGTGTAGTCTGAGAATGAGCTGTTTGATTTGCACCCTCTTCCTCTTCACTGTCCTCCATAAAAACCAGCTATCCAGGTCCATGTTGTTCTAGAAAGTTTGTATGTTGCTGCCTCAATTAACATCTCTGCTATACATTTAAAACATGGCTATATCTAAAATAATTTATCTTTTTGATTTTTGTTATCTTGTTTTTCATGAATATTTTACAACAATACAAAGAGCAATGTGTATTTTCCAATAATATAGTTTGTAATGGCTTTTTTTGTCATAGATTATAATCATATATTTTTTGGATTTGTTATTTATCTTTATAATGAAGTTGTCTGTATTAAGTAGATTGTGTTTAACACACACAAGAGTGATTTATTAGTTCAACACATAGTTATAGAAATTCTACTTTATCTAAAATAAAACCCTGCACTTTATACACACACACACAACACACACACACACACACACACACACACACACACACACACACACACACACACACACACACACACACACATAAATACATGTAAAAAAAATACCAAAAAAAAACATCAAATGTGTTTTTAGTCAGAGTATTATTTTATACAGAAACAAATATTTGTAATTCAGATAAGAATGAAGTTAGTGTTTTAAAATCTTAAGGAAAACAAATATATTGAAATATAGCACATGAATTTTAAATTCATTCAACTTCAATTACAAATACAATCTTACTTTTATTTAAAGCAATCTATACATTTAAAAGATGGGGGTTATATGCCTATTTTGTCATTTAAAAATATTGTTATGCAAAATTGTTATGCAAAAAGACAAGGACTTAGAGACAAGGACTTGTAGGAAAAATCACAGCCAGCCACACACACACACATAAACACAGACAACAGCCCTCCCCTCCCCACACAGACACACACACCCACAGAGAGAGAGAGAGAGAGAGAGAGAGAGAGAGAGAGAGAATCGCAGGGGAATTAAATCCATTCAAACTACAATATCTGACTTTCTGTTGCTCAGAGCGAATGACTTTAAATTGGAAAGTTGATCGGCTTGACGAGAACAATATACGTGGCAAGTTTTGTAACTGTAGGTAAAATGAGCAAAGTTATAACACACTTTATGTGTCCTTTTTTAGTCATAAAATTCATTTCCTCGCCACGGCCAGACCGTTCGAGATATCAAAAATCCGTCCGGAATTGAGCATCCTCAATGTCTTGACTTCATGCACACCGAGTTTGGTTGTGATTGGTAAACACATGCGTTGTAATTTGATGTATTTGTCCTAGGACAATTATTCAAACAACCCATAATTCATAATTCATAAATAACTTCCATTTGAACTGTAATAAAACTTAGAGCACGAAAGTTGTTTGGCCTGATGTGATCTATAATTGTACCGAGTTTCATATTAATTCATGCAAGTGTGTTTGATTTATGGACAAATGTTCGAATCCCAGTCCAGGGGGCGCTGTCGAGCCGCCCTGCCACGCCCGGTTACCAGCTTCAGCCCGGCCCTGATTGCCATGGGTTCTGACCCGTGTGCAAAGTTTCAAGAGTTTTCGAGGATGTTAAGGCCCCCGAAAATGCCAGAGAAGTCGCACACAGCAAATAAAGGGTTAAAATTAACCTGACAGGCGCCCCTCCTCTCACTCACACAGAGGGACACTGAGACACTGGCAAAATTCTGAGATTTTCTCTACATTCAAACAAACATATCTGACTTTCTGTGGGTCCTAGCTAATGAGTGTCAATTAGAAAGTTGTCCGGCTCGAGGAGTACAATATACATACCGATTTTTGTAACTGTAGATAAAACTAACAACCCCACTTTTGTCAAAAGGTGGCGCTACTGAGCCCTCACCACGCCCGTTTCTGAAACTTTGCACATGTCTACTGGCTAATAAATGTGATGTGTCTGTCGAGTTTCATGCAATTTAAAGCATGCTAAGAGTCTCAAAAGCATCCTAAAAGAATGGTAAAGTTTGATGCGTTGCCACGGCAAAAGTTTCAAAGATATCAAGAATCCATTCACAGGTCTACATCTGCCCTATGTTTACATTATACAGATGAAGTTTGAAGCAAATCGGGTAAAAATAAAAGGGTGATATCAAAGCATTTTGAAAGTGACACACTTCCTGCTGCCAGTTGGTGGCGCTATAACTTTGACTCACAATAGTCACATCCATATGATCGTCCTCTTACAGCGAACACACTGCTGAAGTTTCATCAAGATCAGTTAATGTATGCTGAAGTTATAACACACTTCCTGTTTCACGTTTCTCGCCATGATTTCGTTTCCTCGCCACGGACAAACCGTTCGAGATATAAAAATCCCCTCGCAAACTTTCATCCTCAATGTCTTGACTTCACGCTGACCGAGTTTCGTCGAATTTGGATCAAAGCTCTAGGAGGAGTATATGACATTCCATTGCGAGCGTTTTACAAACAACCTCAATAGCCGACTTCCTGTTGGGCTGGGGTAAAAAGTAAGAGTGTGAGGTATAGATGAAACGATGAGATCAACATGTGTACCGAGTTTCATATTATTACATACAAGCGTGTTTGAGTTATGGACCAAGTGTTCGGACCCCGTTCCAGGGGGCGCTGACGAGCCGCCCTACCACGCCCGGGTACCAGCTTCAGCCCGGCTCTGATGGCCGCGGGTTCTGACCCGTGTGCAAAGTTTCAAGAGTTTTCGAGCACGTTAAGGGCCCCAAAAGTGCCCAAAAAGGTAGCAAAATAATAATAATACTAAAGAAGAAATATAGCTGCGAGCAGCGATTGCGG